TTGCTTCCAGTGAACCAAAGAGTCTAATCTCCTGTGGCTTTGTTACTAGTTACATTTTATTTTGGGGAAATTTTGGCAGTTTCCTTGCTCCTGCGTGGTAGATAGACACTTGGCTTCAATACGGACTATTTCTTAAGGCAGGGTGGTAACAAAACTTTGCCACTGACTTCAGTAATTGACCTCTGATAATTTCAACACCAGACTGTTAACAATTTTGCTACAACCTTATGAGCCAGATAATTCCTTACCCACTTTTGGAAAATGTTAACTTTCAGCCAACTCAATTTTGGACTCTCTTAATGTGCGCTTGTGAGATATCCATATTCTGTTTATTTACCATAGTTTTCGCTCCATAAGATGCTCCTGACCATAAGATGCACGTAGGTTTAGAGGAGAAAAACAAGGGAAAAAATCTGCCTCTGCTTCCCAGCGTCCATCCAGTATTCATTGGCTAGCGTCCTTGCAGCAAACAAGAAACAGCTTATTTATACTTTGTTGACCATTAATGGGAAAACTAATTATTTGCTTATCTTTCTCTTCTTGGAAACAATGAGACATAAAGATGCTCAACTTAAATTAGATTGATTTGTGGATATGTAGATACTTCTGCACAAATGGCGTTGAAGGCAGCAGTAGCTATAAAATAATATTTTTATGGAACTGTAATCAGAAGCCTTCAAATATGTTATTTTTAAAAACAATGCTGTTATTACACTCTACATAAAATTATCCGACCTTGAAGTTTTTGATAATCATTTTGCAGAAAGAAAATTGTTGATCTTTTCTCATGCACTACAGTGATTTGGTCTTGCCTCACAAATTCCAATTCTTGTGATTCTCCAAAGATAGTAAGAATGCCAATTTATTATGTAGGGGTTTTTTTTTTTTTTGGCTCTCTATTCTGTTACGTTTTTAAAATGTATTATTATAAGCAAGTTTCAGATAAATTAATAACAAACCCGTTCACCCGTCTAATCACTCTGCCAAGTTATACATTAACAAACTAATCAAGATATCAATTTTTGAAGTCAAATCAAAATCCTTAAGCAAGTTGGAAGGAACACTATAATACATTTCAGCTAATCTAACATTTTAATAGAAATCTTCAGGGGCTGTGTGACAAATTGTAGGAAGTTATACAGTCCTTTGGTTGAGGTTCAGTTCTAATTAGTAGTCATAAATGAAATCAATGGAACATTCCCCTGCTGATCATACTTCTTCCTTTTTTTTCATACTGCTCTCAATGCTGCTCTAGATCAAGAATAAAGGGGGTGGGGAGAGGGAGTATTGTTTATAATATTCTAACAATTAAAAGTTTCTGACAATATTAGTAACTTTTATTTAAACATGATAATCTGTTCCATAATGTGATTTTATCTGTGGCTAGACAATATTTAACATTTAAAACATTAATTTAAAATTTGAATGAAATCTCTCTCTTTTTCTCTTGTACACACACAAAACCCATACAGAGAGAAATATTTATTAATTAACTGAGTTTAATTAATTATAAAGAAAGACTGTATACATACACATACATACACACACGCAGCCTTCCTTTTTTAATTTCTGGGATTTTAGGAATTAAAGGGTTTTTCAGAACAACATCCCAGACTTTCCAAAGAGATCGAAAATCTATTGTACCCCTAAACAAGGTCTGAGCTATCAAAACAGATAGTTAACTCTCACGTGTTTGTCAAATGTTACACAATGTTGTGAGCAACTTCATGAGATTTCCACAATCTTGCAAGATTTGTGGAACTTTGTTCTTGTTGCCAGAAAAAAGAATCCCTATCCCTGACTTAAGACAACTGACACAACTTTAAATCTGCCCTTAAGCAAACAGATTTTTTTTCAGCTTTAAAAAACAGAATTTTTAAAGCTTTGACAATTCCACTTCTTCTGATATCTGAGACTATCTGAGTCTGGTCCCCCCCCCCCCATTTCCTATATGCCTTGGGTTTTTGTATTTTCACTGATGGAAATAATAATTCTAATTTCCTGGTGAACATTGCAAGCAGAAGGTCTTGAATGTTCCTTTCTGACTTTTTCTCCTTCCATCCATTAAAAAAAATCAATTCCAATCATTATCCTCTTAGGTAGCATGAGTGTCTGCTACAAGTGAAAATGCCAAAAATTGACAACATTTTATTAAAAAGCATAAACTTTAGTATCGGTTGGAGATGTGCTAATTGGAAAAGGTGTTAGCCGACTCCTGACTTTTGACAACACAGCTCTCTTTCTACTATTCCAGACAGTAGATTAAAAGTTATTTTCCATATACATTTTTACTGCAATTTAGTGATCATCCAGATTTTTTCCAGTCAAAGATCAAATTATTTGTAGAGCCAAAGAGCATCTCCATTTTTCTGTCATCTAACTAACACGGTAACCAGAACTCTACGACATCCATTTTCTTGCGACGGATGTAAAACAATTGATGAATGCTCTTTTTACATGTTCCAAATTGATCTAGCTGTAACATTGCTAGTTTATATTTTACTAGCTTTCTAAGCTTACCATAAAATAAATTGAAAGATAATTTGTCTGAAATCAAAATAAAATACGAAGAACTTTGTTGGATTAGGCCCAAGGCTTGTCAAAGCATGCCTATGGCAAGCCTCAGGCAGGATATGAATATAACAGCAAGATTCCTATTATCTGGTTTTGCATCTCGTATTAAGAGCAATACCAATTCTCTAATAATAGAAGTAATATATATAATGATTATCCTTTGATAATCTTATTTTCAATAAATTTCTCTAATCTCCTTCAGGTTATGGACAGAGCATTCATTACTAATTAAATAGGTTAGTAACACAATATGTTCTTTTAGGTATGTTTAATACCTTTTTACCATTTTATTCACACAGGGATTATTGTGAAAACTTCCATTTACTTTTTCTTCATTATTCTTGATTGTAATAACTTTCCTCATATACCTGTTTAAGAACCAAGGTGGCACAGTGGTTAGAGGGCAGTACTGCAGGCTGCTTCTGCTGACTGCTAGCTGCAGTCCGGCAGTTCAAATCTCACCGGCTCAAGGTTGACTCAGCCTTCCGAGGTGGGTAAAATGAGGACCCAGATTGTTGGGGGCAATAGGCTGACTCTGTAAATTGCTTAGGGCTGTAAAAGCACTATGAAGTGGTATATAAGTTAAGTGCTGTTACTATCTGCTATTTTTAAAAAGTGACATGTTATACATAGGGTTCTTGCTCGTTTTTTTTTTCTATTTTGATTACCTTCATCTGTACTTTTTCAGTTCTATAATATCCTCATCAAAGAGCAATAATCAAAATGTACATAATATTCCCTTTAGAGATCCACCTGTTATTTACAAACAGTTTTTGTGATATTGGCATTGTGCAATTACTTTAGATTTCATGTTTATAAAGATTAACGTTTGCTTCTTATGTTTTACAATTCTTAACGTTTTAGATATTTTTTTTCCATATTTATTCACATTATTGCTAGGCCAACTATGGCAGAAAGGTAGATTATAGATTAAATAAATGAGGGACAACAATGGCTGATAAAAGGCGAAGATACGGAGGGAAAATTGGCTGAGGCTTAAGCCTCTTCCTCATCTCCCTTCAAAGCAAATTCTTGTGCTGTTTCAAAAAAGCAAAAGAAAAAAGCAAAGAGAGAGAGAGAAATACCTGTAAAACAGAAGCACCGCTATGAAGAAATTGCAGACCGCTTTCAGCTGAGTCAATGCCTCCTGTTGCTAAGATAGGAAAACCAGGAAGAGCTTTCGCAATTGCAGAAACAGCTCGAAGAGCTATTGGTCTGATGGCATTTCCTGTGTAAATAAAGAGAGTTCATTAATGAAGGGCAGAAATTTTCAGGCAAGACTATTTCTTTCTCCTTTTCTGCTATTGGTTTTCTTAAAAAAAAACAAAAACCTTGAGCTCTTATCTATACACTTAGTTTACTGTCTTCTTCAAGATTCTTCTATAATAGAACATCTCTTGGTCTTGCCTCCAGTTTTCAAACTCACTATTTTATTTTATGTATTTGTATTTGTATTTTATTATTTGTATGCCGCCCTTCTCCGGGAGGACTCAGGGCAGCGAACAATTCAAGGGGGGGAAAAAAAGGGGGAACATAAAAGACAAAATACAAATAATAAAAGTAGACAACAGTCGCACAACCATACATGTCGAGAGGGGAGGGAACTCATCACCCCCAGGCCTGCCGGCAAAGCCAGGTTTTGACGGCTTTTCGGAAGGCCTGGAGAGAGGTGAGGGTCCGAATCCCTGCGGGGAGTTCATTCCAGAGGGCCAGAGCTGCCACAGAGAAGGCCCTCCCCCGGGTAATAGCCAGGTGGCATTGGCTGGTAGATGGCACCCGGAGGAGGCCAACCCTGTGAGATCTAATGGGTCTGTGGGAGGTAATTGGCAGCAGGCGGTCTCTCAAGTACCCAGATCCAATACCATGAAGGGCTTTATAAGTTACGACTAGCACCTTGAAGCGTATCCGGAGACTGATCGGTAACCAGTGCAGCTCGCGGAGGATAGATGTAATGTGGGTGTATATATGGACACATGCCTTCATATTACATTTACCAATCATTGACAAAACACAATTTTATCCTAAAGAATGAACCCAGGTGATGTATATTCAATGCTATTAGCAAGAGTCGGAACTTCCGGAAAATGCTAAACTACAAGGTCACTATGGATTATATGTAAATAGCCATAGCTTCTTCCCTAAGTTAAACCACACAATGTTGTGCCCAACAACAGTTGAGAACAGTTCAGCTGTAAAATGCAGATGAAACAAAGAAACAGAACCATTTTTTCTTACTTAATTCATGTTATTCCCCGTAAATATAAAACTTCTTCCTTCTATTGCATTTAAAATAGTCGTTCAGAAGTAACCCTTCTGAACTTTGGGTGCCATGTTCAAAACTTGCTGTTCTGGAGTCATGGGGAGATGCATCTAATGCCAGGTAATTACTAAGTAGATATTAGAACACTTAGTAGGGTCACCCTCAACTTGTGACACTAACTGTGACTTGGCTCTGTCTCTCTCTCTCTCTCTCTCTCTGTGTGTGTTCCAGCATAACTCTGGAACGCCTCGAGCCATTTCAACCAAACTTGGTACACAGATGACTTACTCTCTGGAGAAAAATACTGTGGGGGGTAAGACACCCCTTGCAGTGTGTTCTGTAATGATACAGCCTGTTGTGCCTTAAAATGGCTTCTACTGTACTGCTGTAAAATGGCTTCTACTGTACAGAGCAGTGGAGTTGCTATGGTAACGGCTTCACAGTACTCCACAAGGAGGCTCCCTCTGGTAAGGGGGAAAATCCAACATTAGAAATTATGTTTGGCCTGGACATTTCCCCACTATAAATAAATACCTGGGCAACATAATAAAGCTGAGTAAAATATAATAATAATGGCCTAATAAGGATGTACCTTTCAGATCAATGTACCTTTCCGAGCAATCAGCAAGTTTGACTTGAGAGGATTTTTATTGTCCAAAAATAGTTTTCTATACATTCTATACATTCTATACATTGAATATAATAACCTAATGTAAACATATATTTTTTTCCTTAGAGTAACCTCCACAGCAGATATATACCCACACAATACTGTTCCTACTGGTGGGAAGCTGCTTTATTGAATGAGTGGGCTGGTAGGCTTCACCCACAGACTGCATTTCCAAAAACTTCACTTTTGCATTTTGGCATGATGCGTAAGCAATATGGCCACACTGAGATGTCTTAAGTATTTGGAAAATATTCCCCTGCCTTTTAAAAGAGAATCTGTTTGCTGATAGGATTTCTCCGTAGGACCCTGAAAAAAAATCTGTTGGGTTGTCATTTTTGAAAGATGTTTCTTCTGTGCTTATTGCCTCCAGGAAAATGTCACCTCCCTCTAACAACCCACCATTTTCACAGTCAACATTGGTCTTTACAAACAGGTTGTCTGACAAGCCTACCCCATCAATGCAACGTGCTACTGAATCAGCATCCAAATACTCAAGACAAGCTGTCTTTATTGACATCTGCTCCTGATTCAGCATATGAATTATCCTCTAGGGTTATGCCACCTTCAGCTGCTTCAGCACAGATTCCTCCTCATTATTCACCTCCTTTGGCATATCCCCCCCGTTTTCAAGACTGAACTCACACCCCACACGCATCTGCTCCAGAACCAGGATTCAGGCTGTCTTAAGAGGGACCGAGAAGCATGAGCCACGAAGAAGGAAGACTTCGATAATTTGCTTTGCATTGGTGGGATGGCGGTACAGATAAATTATACTTCTTAGGACACCAGAAACATTGCTGAAGCCAAAATATATAGACGTGAAGGCGGGGAGGTTAAGGAAAGTAGGATGCCTAATGAGGCACTTAAGTCCAAACAGCAGGTGGGAAATTATCATCGTCTTAATGAATAGTGACCAGTGTTTGACCAAAATTGTCCTTTAAAAAAACCAAAACCTTAAAGAGCAAAAGTAAAGATCATAGCAAAACAGAAGATCAAACGAGAGGAAAGAGAGAGGGCAAAGAATTCCCAATGGGCCTTAATGGATGGCTTGATATTTGCAGTCAGCTTAACAAAATCAATCTTAATGAGAAAAGGAAGAACACAAAGAGGCTTCTAGAATTCATACTGCTCTTTCACACTGGAGGGAATGTCTCCTTTTTTTTTTAAAATTTCCACGCAGCTACCAAAAATTGACTGAGAACCACAGTATGCCAGCGCAAGATTCTTTTTTTCTCCTCTTCTAATGTTGTACAAGAAGCAGTGTTTAAAAATGGAACCAGTAATAAGCAGAGTATCAATAATTCAGTGACTGCCTAATTGGATGTCAGGAGGGCTACAGACTTGCTTAGGCATTGCTTGTGTGAAAGAGCAAGGATATTACAAAGACATACAGGACTGTAGGTTTAGCCCACATCCTGCAGACAAACTCATCTTCCACTCCCCCAAGGGTTCCTAAAAAAAGCTTCTGCAGCAAAAAAGCCTTTTCTAGCCAGAAATTTCCAAATGATAATGCAGAACTGATCCTGAAACACATAAATGGATGGGAGGAATGGCCTCTTATTGAAGCAGGGGCAAAATGCAGAACAGAAATATCCCTGCATGCAAATTACATCGGAACAGGTTCTGTGCAGGTAACGGAATGGGTTTGTAACGTAGGAGCAGTGGTGGGATTCAGCCAGTTCGCACCTATTCGGGAGAACCGGTTGGTAACTTTCTACGTAGTTCAGAGAACCGGTTGTTGGAAGAAATCTCCTTTCCACTTTACAGGGCTAATCCTATAAGGAAGGCAGGAAGGAAACATTCTAGTGTTGTTTCTAGCCGAATCTTTATTGACCTGCTTACAGAAACTGCCTCTCCGGCTAACCCTTATTACATTGTAACAGCTAAGGCGAAGCGCCCATCGACATGAGTGACATTGAGTTGGCCACGCCCACCCAGTCACATGACCACCAAGCCCCACCTACCCAGATGGTCATTAGGGCGGAGAACTGATTGTTAAATTATTTGAATCCCACCACTGCATAGGAGGGAATTAGGTTCGGCCCTGAGATTTCTCTTGATTGGTGCTGAGCCCTGCAATGGCCGATAAGTTTATAAATTAATGTGATAGAAAGAGATCTCACACTTTTAAGAATAATTCCCATTGATTTCAAAAGAAAACAAACTCTGTTGAATTCAATCCCTGCTTTGGGCTGACCCTTTCAGTGTGGCCTGCCAGCGACCAGCAGAGCTAGCAGCAGAGTCAGACAGTGAGGAGGTTGGGGAGGAACATGGGCCAGTCCTGGGGGTTTGAGGAAAGCTCAGATGAGGGCTCTGCGTTGGAGGCAGAGAGGGAGTTAGACAGCAGTGAGGCAGAAGAACATCTGGAGTCTGTTCCCAGTGTGTGCATGTACAGAAGAAGAAAGCCTTGCCCTGCATTTGGAAACTAGTTATCTGGCAACGCTCCAAACGAGATAAGGTTCATGTGGATAAACATTTCTCTGAAAGGCTGTTTACTAAGTCTTGCTGACTGTGAATGAAAGGAATTCACAGTCGTGTAAATAAAAGAGGTTTTTCAGGGACCAAAACTTTGCTTCATGCTTTCTAAGGAAGGCCTGGGTCAAAAGAGGAACTCAGGTCTTTAAACTGAATGCTTCGATACTTCAAAGCAGAAATCATTATCTTATACATACACTTTGACATCATATCTGTATCATATACAAGGAATAACCGATTCCAAGTACTTACAGCATGTGCTACCTGCTCTAACATATGCCGGTGAAACATGGACACTAACCTCACAATTTATAGAAAAGCTACGAGTGCCACAAAGAGCCATGGAAGGAGACGTGCTCGGCATTACAAGACAAGATAGAAAGACTGCACATGGATTAGAGAACAAATAAAAGTATATGGCATCATGAAAGGAGCAAAAGAATTGAAATGGAAATGGGCTGATCATCTAGTAAGAAGAACCAATGGCAGGTGGACCATGGCAGTCATAGAATTGATCCCACTTTATAAAAAGGGTCCACGAAAGAGACCTAAAACAAGACATCATCAGCAAGTATTGGGGGTCCAATTGGCAAAAGAAAGCTCAGGACCGTGTTGGTTGTAAACAAGCAGATGAGGTCTTCATCCTGCAATGGATAGGTGGTTGTCCTAAAGATGCTTTAGTCAAGTGGACTTCCTGGATTTTTCTTTGAAGATGGTTTCACTTCTCATCCAAGAAGCTTCTTCAGCTCTGAAGGGTGTTCATCCTAAAGGTCTGAAGAAGCTTCTTAGATATGAAGCGGAATGTCTTCCAAGAAAAACCAGA